TTTAGCTTCTTTGAAGATTCATCTCTTTAGGATAGAGTGCATGGCTGCATTAACTACCTTCTGCTGGGAAAACTTTATTCCTCATTTTTCTGCCAAAAGAAATAAGAAGAGATGTCTAAGGGAGCATAATGGTGCTGTTACCCTTCTTTCTGCTCTAGGCAATCATCGCTGTCTGCCAAAGGTTCAGTCATTGCTGTCTGCCAGAGTTTCAGTCTAGCCTGCTAGTGACAAACTTGGGAAAGGAGCAAATATTGTTTGAATCACAGAAGGTTATAGTTTTACTCCAAGATAAAACAGGGGCAGGATATTAGTGCATGAATAGGTCCTACAGATATCCATTTGACATGTTTCTTAGCACAGTTTTGCTGTGTATTGATTAGTTGTCTCCCAGGCATGGCCTGAGCACAGTTCAAGAGAAGAACATGTACAATGACCAGAAGCAATTTGGATATTTCCACTGTTTTTGGGAAAGGGATTTAACTTTGGGGACAGGGGATGTTCTGTTCCACTTCGCCTTAGAGCTAAAGATTCACTTGCTTGAATTATTTAGTGACACAGAGGAAGCCAAACTGACTCATGACAAACAAGCCAATAACTGGGTCTGAAGGGTCATCCTGAGGAGCACCTTGTGGGGGAGGGAATTCTTGCATCAATTGTAGAGAAGCCACTCATCTGCAAATATTATTTCATTTTCTCTTTTAAAAGCAACAATGTTTTAAAGGATTAGTTTGCAAGCAAATCAATCCAATTTTCCTTGTTGTGGTTGATGGCATGTCTGTGAATGTGGGAACTCAGCAGCACTTGCAGGTACACTGCAAGAGATTACCATGCTGCCAGTAGTTTTCATGGAGCATTGCTGTACCAGAAATGGTTGATTACACAGGAGAAAGAAGCACAGAGCAGTTGTTCAGTATTTAGATAATGCTAGATGGAACATAATCCTGATTGCCTTTGACTTAAAAACAACCTCCTTTGCTCCCCGAAAACCAAAATACTACCCCTGAAAATATTATGGCTGCCTCCTATGGTAATTTTTTTGGTGATTTTTATAAGCTCAAGATTTTTTACATACATATAGCACTTTGTCCATTTGGAAAGAGATGACACTTCATCTTTCACTGTGATATTTCAGGCTCATTCTCATACCAAATCCATTTTCATTCCTGCTATATGAACCTGCAACACAGGTTATGCAATTAGGAGGAAAGTGTTTGCAGAAACAATAAGGAAAACTTGATAAATGAAATCTGCTATACACTGTCAGTCATGCTGATGGTATTCCAATAAACACAAAAATATTTTTGTGTGCGCAGTTTTAAAGATACAGAGTAAAATAATTTATGGCCAAAGCTGGTTTTCCTTCCTTGCAGCATTTATATGTATATTATATTGTGCACACCAAAATTATGTTAAGGGAGCATTGCTGTCATAAAGCAGAGTGCTAAAAAGGCAATGCTATAGTTGGGGTTGTAGTTATAATATTATAGTTAACAGGCTTTTTGTTCAATAACTGAGTCTGTGAATGTGCTGTATACAGTCTTTATGCAATTAGGAACATTTTTTAGGGTGAATGTTTGGTTTTAGGAAAGGAATTTGCTTTCAAGACAAACGCAGTGGGATTTATATCACATCTGTTATTATCTAAGTGGAGCTTTGTCTTGCAAAGGAGATTTGTCTTATAGAGTGCACAGTTTGGGCAGCCTTCAATTTAGGACTGGATGCAAAATACTTTCCAAGTGTTGCCCTGTAATTTTTTCTGTTTTTCTGTTTTTTGTTTTTTTTTTTCTTATATGCTATTTAAACCTTGCTTGGAAGACAAAATTGGTAATTTCCTTGTGGGAATTGTTATTCTGCTCTTTCATTGTAGTTCCTGAGTGCCTCAGAAATGTTAATGTCTCGTTAGCATTTCTGAGGAGGTGATGTGATATATCCACTTTATAAGGCAGAGGTGAAGGCTGGTGGTTGAAACACAGGTCTGAGAGTGTTTGCTAATTTGGGGGCTGCACTCAATGACCTGATTTCTTGGACTAATGCATTCACAGGATTGAGGCACTTTCCCTGTTGATGATTTCAGTGAGCACTCAGGAGCACTGCAGTCTGGGTCTCAGGGTTTGAAATGAACACTGAAGATAGAAGGAACACTCCTTTAGTGACCAGCTGAGTCAAGAGTAAGTGTAAATGGCTGCCCTAGCAGCACGGAAGAGCTGTGGAGCAGAGGGTAGCATACAGGACTTTCTGACAGGAAGATGCTCATTTCCAATTGTCTGGAGGCTCTTTGTTCTGATTCCACTGTTCCTTTGAATATCTGTAACAAATGATGGAGTGCTCCACTGAGTGATGTTCTTTCTAGCTGCCCTTGTGATCTTCAGGAAAGATACCTACTGACAAATTAGAAAACAGATTATTTATTTAAAGAGGCTCTTCAGAGAAAACAGTCCAGGATATTTCAGCTCTGACAGCCTGTCCAAGGTTTCCCTTGTTATTGTACAAAATAGAATATTCTATACATACACTATAAAAGTGCCCTTATTTTGTTTTACCGTTGTCATGTAATGATGACAGTAGTCAATATCTTCCTTCAGTTTAATATGTACTTTTCTACTTGAAAGCTGCTCATCTTTGCTCAAAACTGGTTTGTAGTGCTGTCCCAGTGACATTAGTTTACTATACTAGAGGGTGTTGCTGAGAATGTAAAACTATCCCATTAGCCTGTTTGCAATATAAAATAGGCTTCTGCTTTTTACAAGCTTATGCAGTGTAGTAAGAATTTGGCAAGTGTAAAGGAAAAAGGTGTTAAGGAGAGCTGGCAGCTCCTTAAAGAAATGATATTAAGTGCAAACTCTTCCAATAAGGAGGAAAGTTAAGGAAGTGCAGTGGAAGACCAGCATAGCTAAACTGCCAGTTCTTCATGGCTCCTGAAGAGAAGTTGTTTTTTTACAGAGTGGAAAGTAGGTCAGATTTCCAAGAAAAAAGATTAAAAAATAGCATGTAATGGCAATAAAGTCAGAAATAGTGAGGCACAAAATGATATTAAAGAATCCATGTGTGTTACAGGTTGTAAGAATTCATTTTTCGTGCACTGCAGTAATGAAAGAAGGACTGAAAGGAAAGGTCAGAGGACAAAAGGGATCAATAGATGGCATTGAGATGGCCAAAATCATTGGTTTGTTTGGGTCTCCCCCAGTAAAATGGACACGGTTTCTACTGATAACTTGGGGAACTGTACTGCTGCTGCAATATCCAGAAGATCTCACATGCACAAATGAATGTCTCTGTACCTCCTGGTAACCAGAGAAGAGCAGACCTTCTGCCCACACCCATCAATCTTAGAGTGGTTTTTCTGGAGGATATTAGTGTACAATGCCTGAAATGTATTTTGGAACAGTCCACTGTTGGAAGGCAATGGAGGAGCACAGGGTGCCTTCTTTGCAAGAATTGTTCTGTAATTTTGTTAATGATTTAGATGTTGGCACTGATTATGCTAACAATTTATGTAGAAAGCTGGTAAGGATGAAAGAGGCTATGAAAGAAAGGGCTAAAATTTGAGGTGGTGTTATCCAGTTGCACAAATAATCTTAAAGGGAATGGTCATGGTTCGAAAGGGATACATTCTACATATGGCTCTGGGGAGTAACCAGCTTTAAGGATAAAGGCTGGAGAATAACTTCCTAGGGAGTGATTGTTCAGAAAGAAGTTTGAAAGTTGCAGGGAGCCACAAACCAGTTCATGAGTACAGTGTCATGCTGTGATATGTAATATTCTGGGGTGAATAAGAGGAATATAGCCTGGAAGGGGGGAATAAAATCCTTTATTGCCTGGAGTACCATGTTGGGCCTCAGGGACTGTACCTTAAGAAAGAAGCAAATCAGCAAGACTATGCAGAGGAACAGTACCAACACTGAGCAAACAGTCCTAGAGAGCATGACTGATAAGTATGTGTTGAGTGAAATGGTGTTATGTGGGATAGATGGCTGCAATATGTTTAGTGGTTGTTAGAGCCTTCTGTATGTATGGGCTGCTGCAAACATAGGGAGAATAACCAGACTTCTATGCCTGGACAGCACAAAGACAAAAGTTCCAGCAAAAGGGAGAGATTGTGTTACCATGATAAAAGTAGTGCAGCACTAGAAGAGTTTGAGTGGGGAGGTTATTGAATCTCTGTTATTGGGGGTCTTCAGGAACAATTAGGAAATATCTTCTGACATAGTATGAGATGTAATATTTTGTGCTGTGGAGCTGGACATCTTCTGATTCTTCTTCCAGTCAGAAGTGTGTTGTTTTATGATGTGCTTACTCTTTTGTCTTTTATATCCTTTTACTCCTTGGTGAATATCACTGTTTTCTGGACAACAATTTCTTAGGTGGCAGAGAAGATTCAGTAAATTCACAGTAGTCATTTTGGTGAAGAACTTCATGGAGCAGTGCTTTAAGTTGCTGTATTTGACCAACTGCTGCAGCTATAAGAGTCACAGGCCACAACTTCTTAGTGAGAGTGTTCCTTATAAACAGAGTAAGGACTGGGACTTGCTTTCTAATCACCATGTTTTCTGAAGACTTTTAAAATGCATATAACAGCCTGACTTGCCAGCTGTCACCAGAAATGGTGTCCCCCACCAACACCAGCATGCGGTGTGTTGGCACTCATGTCACACAAACAGGGAGTGTTGACAAGTCCTCTTGCCAGTCACCTTAGAAAGATAGGGAAGATGCCAGTGTTCAGTGAAGGAGATCTCAGGAGAACACCAGGGACATCAGAACCAGAGCAGTCTGAGAAAGGAGCTGGTCCAGGACTTTTAAAGCCCAAGAGAAAATGAGTGCAGCAAAAGAGAAATTTTCTCCAGCCTCATCCATGTTTAGCTTGGTGTTTGGGACTGATTTGAACCTCTCTTCGTGGGGCAGCAGTGCAATGCCTTTCCTGAGCAATCTTCCCAAGTTCCAGAGTCTTGAGTAGCTGTAGTTGCATTTGTGTTAAAATTGAATTATGTTTTCTTTCAACTTAGAAGCCGAAGTTGATATCCAAGCCAATGCTTGATAGCATCCTTTGTCTTCGTGATGACAGATGGAAGTTTGTGCGGAGCCTCCTGACCCCAGCCTTCAGCGATACCAAACTGAAAGAGGTAAGGTGTAGACATTGCCGTTTTCATAATTTAGAAGACTTGTGCAGGCATCTGCTTTATGTAGGTCCATATTAAGGATAGGTAAATCCTGCTACTTTGTGCCACTTTATTTAGACCTGAAGAGCACATGCAGCAGAGCTTCCATATGGCATGGTTCAGATCATAGACGGGTGAAAATCCAAATAGATCATCTGAAGATATGATTCTCTGTCTTCTTCTGTTTAAGTCAGTTTTTCCATGAAAGTATAGCATACTTAAGAAGGACCCTTACCCCTTCCTCTCCTCTGCCCTATTAGGAGTAAGCTTAAGTTCAGGAAAGGTTATTGCTCCCAGTTGGAACATAGCTTTTCTTGATGTGCAGAGTCAGCAACTCTCATGTTAACACAGGAACTGCTGTCAGTCTATTTTCTTTTCTCCATCTCCTTCCCTTTCCCTCTTCCTTTTATTCTTTAATCCTTTCATATAATAAAATAAGTCACTGGAACAGAATGTCATTGCCAGATAAATACCTCTGACTGAAAATAAATGTCTCTGTGCTGACCTGCTGCTAATTTCGTATAAATGTATCAGCATTTCCTCAGCCATGGGAACCCATTACCCAGTAACAAAGTCCTATTCCAGTGGTACGATATCTCTTAATTAACTGTATATAAATGATTGACTGGCTAAAGTCTACTTTCAAAGAGAACTACAAAAACCAACCCCACAACAACCAAACCAAAATCACCTCTTCCTTTTTATGTTTTATTCTGAAAGGGAATCATGCCTCACTCCGGTGCCCAGTCCTGGGTTGTAAAATTTTCCACTGGGCAGACGCTTGTGTTGTTTTGACATGCCGCTGTCGAAATCCACAGTAACATCTAAATGTGTCTGGCTCTCCCAGCTCCATAGACAGCGGTCGCTTAGCAACGCCGGCTGTCACCTCCTTATTATGGTAAATTCTAATTGGCCGCCAGCCTGGCGGAGATGCTGATTAATCACCACTGACAATGCCATTGGTTATGCGCCCTCACATTTGCTCTGTCACCAACTCCATCACGAAATTTCAGCAAGGCAAGGGTGTTTAAATATGCAAGCGATCAGTTGCACATGGCATGGTGGGGAGAGCAGAGTTTTGCATTTTGCTGGCGGAAATTAATCTGCCTTGCTGCAGGTCATCGGCTCTTTGCTCGTGGACTAACAAAAGATAACGCTGCTCTCCCCTCAATTTGTGGAGAGCAACCTTTGCCAGCACCTGCCAGGCAGGCTTGGCTGAGGAGCACGGTGAGGGCAAGAGAGTGGAGCCTCAGGGATCCTGCTTTGGGGCTGGGCTTTGCAGGGTCTGGCCAATCCAACTGCATGGCTTGTTGGTGGAGGTGGACTGCAGGAGTAATGGTAGGAGGTGAAAGGGAGGGCTGGCCAGTGCCTGCTAGCTGTCTTGTGTGCAAGGATTGAGATATTTATTTTTAGCCTGATAATCAGCTTTGTCCGTGCTGCCTCTTCCAAAGCTCTGTGGGAAGGTGTGTGACTGTGCATGGGCTTAGGGTGACCTGGAAATTGTCACTTTCTCCTCCCATTCAGCAGCAAGTGGGAAAAAGAGGAGGGGAGCAGGTCTTTCTGAAAGGTTCAACTTTGCTTTTCTCCCCCACGCCTTCACCAGAAGTCTGTCCATCCCTACACAGACACTTGCAGTAAGCCCATGTGAGATTAGGAACCACTGGTGAACGGATGTGCTACTCAGCCTTGCATTTCATTTTCTACACAAATATGTTAGCAATATTGGGATTTGAAGTTAATGCAACTTAAGTCCTTGCCCATGTGCTTATCCTGCTGTTGCCTAATTTAGAAGCCATACCAACACTTCACAAAGGAAATCAATGCTCATTAATTATGATCTCACTTTTTAGCTCTCCCATATTTGGTACTCTCTCAGAACCTTTACAGCAGCATGGAAACAAAAATACCATGTTCTAGTATTGGCCATACTACAGAGTATCCAGCCTTATTTGCAAGACATCCTGTTTATAATAAACCCTTCCTCTCTGCTTTGAATTACAAACACAAATTTGGTACTAATTTATAGCATAAGATCCCAGATATGCTATTTTATACATATTTATAAATATTACTAGGACATTCCTTATTTCTCCTTCCATGATATCAATTCCTTTGGCAAAATCCCACACCAGAGTCTTCCACTCTCTTCGCTCTGGATGATTGCCTTAACTTAGTTCCTCTGTGCAGACTCCACAGTAATGCTGGAGACACTGCAGACCTCATGAGTGTCTTTGGAAAGGGGTTCCCCTTGAGTGCTGCAGCCCCTGGTGCCACTCCAAACATAGGCTTGTCTGTCTGGATGCTCTAGAAAAATTGGGAGCTCCTAGCCTGTGACAGAGCAACAAGTGTTAACAGCTCCTTGCATTCAGATGAAAGATGCACCAAGGGACAGAGAGTTCAGAGACACAGGTTCCTGATATCTCTGTTTCAGAAACTCAAGAAAGGACAGTTTCAAAGCTAGCAAGAGTGAGAAGTGAGAAGCCACCTTGGCCTGGCTGCTGGAGGACAAGGCTCCAGACAGAGCTAATGTGTATTGCTAAGGTTTAACCTGCAGTGCTCCACAGAGGCACCTGGGGCTGTGGGCGGAGGTGAGCTTTGCCCTTGTCACTTCAAAGAAGTGGTGTAATGTCACTGAGAAGTTCACTGAGCTTGAGGAATTTCCCTGTAGTTTAGCAAATATCTCCAACAGCCAGCCAGCAAATGATGAAAAGATGATTCCAGAAATTTTGAATTTTTCAAAGTTACAGGAAATTAACTGAAACTAGAGGTTATAGAGTTGTTGGATAACCAATATAGTGATTTCTGTGTGTCTGCAGAGAGTTGCTTTAGTAACAATTTTCAAGAGTTTCTGACAGCTTTCTCTTTTTTCAGTTTGTCTTTAAAAGCTGTGCACCATTTTGCTCTTGCTTTTATGGATTTCAATGTCTTGGGTGTTCTCCCTTTTTTTAACAAGCATGTAAAGATTACTAAAGGAGTCCACTCCAGGTGGAGGAAGATTTGGCTGGATAGCATTGAACACAAATACTACAGTGGTGGTGAATAAAGCAATAGACTTACAAGCTTGATCCTGCAGTAAGATTGGAGAGCATCCATGTGAGATGCCACTGGAGTTGGTAGCAGATCTAATATAATAAGCTCTTTCCAGTAAGACCCCTGAATGAACCCCATAGTTCCACTGCTGTGGGAGCACTAAGAATGAGAAATGAGAGACAGGAGGCAGGAAACCCAAGAAATGTCACTTCCCTGCCCTTGACTGCCTGTGGGTGATCTGACAGAAGCTACTTAAATTTTCTGTGCATGAAACAACTTTTATCTCTTAAGTGGGAACAACACCAATCACTGCAAGTTGATCCGAGATAGAATTAATGAGGAATTGGTGAATTATAATACCTAGAGGCTCTAAGTAATAGAAACATTTCCCAGTGTTCCTGTCATGCTCTCCTCAGCTGTTATGTATTGAAACAAGCTGACATGTTAGTGATCTTGTTGTACCAACTTTGATTCCCTATTTAGTATTTCTTATTTTGTTCCTCTTCTTTTTGCTGTGGTGCCTATGATGATCCTGCAGTTCTGGACCTGTTGTCAGACTTGATAAATAGCTCTACTCTCTTTTACAGCCAACACCAGCAGAAAACCTATTGATTTTTATTTATTGTGATGGTGCTGCAGTAGTCTTGTCATCTCCTATCAGTATGCCAGGAATCCTTTCCTCCATTAACAAACCATTTAAACAAAACAGAACACAGAAATTAAAGAAGAGAGCACAGCTTAATGTAGTAGTGTCCTAAATAACCTGTGAAGTGGAGTTTGTGTTGAGGCATTTCTTTCAAATAAAGGGAGACATAAAGCAGAACTTGTAATAACATGGCAGAACAGTGCAGAAAATCCTGTAGTGTCACTCTCAGGCATGGAGATCTCTCATGTCCTACTAGGACATAAGATCTGACAGTCCACCCATTAAGGTTTCCTTGATTTGCTGTTAGTCTGTGCAAATTGGTCAAAGGCATTTTGGGAGTGTCTCTGGAATCTGCTGTTGTTGCTAAACAAAGCAAATGTGCTCACATAAGGTAAAGCAAATCGCTAATGTAAAAACTGGTGTAAAAATATGAAATGTGCATAAACTTGAGCCACAGGCCACCGTCTTGTTGAGTTGCTTATTTTGGTAAGTTGTGCCCAGGAATAGCACTTTCAAGTGATAGAAACAAATCATTTCACAAAACATCTTCCTGACACTCTGCTCTTTTTCTGGTTTTATTCAGGGACTTGAAATCTGAAAGAGAAGGAATTCTTGTGTTAGGGATGTATTCTTTCTCCTTCTCCCTCATTTCTGTTTCATAACATTTGTGGGACAAGAGGCCCAATACAACTTGTGCTTGCTGTCTGTGAACAGTAAAGTCTCCAGTGTGTCTGCTTACAGTGAATATGATCCAGCCTTCTAGTTTTTAGTTTGGATGCTAATAATGAGGGGAATAATAATACTGATGAATACTGAGGGCCACATCTAACTAGAGGAATGTGACTCTGATGCCTTTGAATAGTGCAAAGATTCACATGCACTGTGCATATGCAGAATCAGAAGCTAATTGTTGTTATGTGCCAAACAGCATATTGGCAGGATTTATACCGCAAAGCCCCTGGCATCATGAAAACCCTAACCCCAAATGCTCTTCTTTGGCAGAAAGAAAGAAATTTGGACTCTGGGCTACTCTTGCTATTAGATAACTGTCAGATCAAATATTTACAGGGACCATATTGTTTAGATTTTTCTTCATCCTGTTACTCTCAGCCAATCTGAACACAAAGCAGCCGAGGTTTATTTACCCACCAAGAACTGAATCTCAGGCAGGTTATGCAGGTTTTATGTTCTGACTGGCAAATCAGAATAAATGGGAGGTAACTGATACCCACGGCAGTGTAGATCAACATGTCAAGTTTCTATGCTTGGTATAGTTCACCTCCCCTGACACTACTTTATTTTTCTTGACAATCAGACAAAGATTTTGAGGGGTTATGAGACTTAAGAATGTTTCAGTTTGTGGTCTTTGTAGCTTGCAGTTTTGCACTAATTTATGTCCCCCAGGGGAATAAAAAACCCAAACCCAACCTAGGATTCCAGATTAGATATCCCCTGTAGCTTTCATATACAAATAATTGTTTTATTGACATGAATCTGTTATTGTCATGCTAACAGTAAATCAAATCCATGTGCCCCCCTCCTTGTTTTCCTGGTTAGATTTACTAATAAAAGTACCTCATGGCTAGGAATGAATTGAAGCAGTATTTCTAGAGGGTGGTGCAATGTGCAAAGTGCAGAGGTGCTGTGGGGATGCCCGGGCCAGAGGTACGTGCCCCTGATGTCTCTGCCAGCTGTTGAAAAGTGATAGCAACCAGCTGGCTGGTTACAGATCTGGTGATGTGATGAAGAATAAGAGAGAAAAAAAGGCAATAAAAGGAAAATCTGAAATGATCACCATCTGTTTCAGAAACATCATACCTGTTAAAAAACTGATTTTCATTTTCTTCTCCTTGGCTGGTTCAGTTCACTAGGGGGGGCTGGACCCAGAGATTATGAAGTATTTCACCTTGGTTGAATCTGTTGAACAGATATGTATTAATTTTGTTGAAGCTGCTTTTGAGAAGAAGCTTGCTGCAGGGGACTTTCTTTGGAAATCCAAAAGGTGAAGAAGGCTGCCACATAACTGCGGCGTGCACCTCCCAAAAGTGTAACAGCTACTTTTACCAAACACTAATCTGGCTCCAGAGCTGCCTTGTGAGACTGTGGCAAAACCCAAGTCGACCGGGCTTTGCAATGTAATTTCACTCATATAGGCAGGGGACCTTGAGAGCAGCTAGACACATTCTTGAGTCAGCCTTGTGCCTTTGGAAAACATATTGGATGCTCCTGCGTTGGCCTTTTGACTGCGTGCAGTCTTGCCCATGTGTTGAGATGGCAGAGTGCCTGTGCACGAAGTGCTGTGCCAGTTTCACAGAGGTAGAAGTGCCAAGCAAAATGGACTTGGCTGGGCAGGCTGCAAAGCTCTCAGAGTGTGCTGCGAGGCTGCAGTAAGTCTTTTTTGGTAACAAGAATGTCAGAGGAGTAGGATAAGTCTGTTCTCATGTTTGTTGACATTCTTATGCTGAGGGAGGTAGTTCAGGAAGGAAAGGCAAGTTTCTGTGTGTACATCGCTGGTGCTTGACGTAGTTGTTGAGGCAAGGCTCTGGTATTAAGTTGTAGGCTGCTCTTGGTAGTCCACATGGGAAAGAGCTGCAGGCTATAATTCCTTTTGGTTCATGGCTGGATTGCTGCTACCCCCTTCCTCTGTCCCCCCATTTGGTGTAATCAGGGAAGTGTCTGATTCCTCAGATGTAGGAAGCTAAAGAGACAGAAAGTGAGACTTTAATGAGTCCTTGATGTTTGCCTGTGCTGTGGTTTCCATGAAGCTCTAAAGAAGAGACTATTGCACTGCTGGCTGCAGCCAAGCTGGGGTTAAGTCTACCTGGCCAGCATGTGTCAGTGACTGGAAAAAACCCTTAGATGAATAAATTCACACAAATCTCCATTTAATGGCATCACCACTTGAGAAAATACTTTCCTGGTGCACCAATATCAGTTTGCCCTCAGCAAACTGATATTGGTGCACAAGGTAGTACCGAGGGTCAGTTTCTAGTTACATGTTAAGTTCCTCAAACTGGGTACTTTTAGTAGTATCCAGGGTCACTTTCTAGTTACATGCTAAGTCCCTCAAACTGAGAGATGGCAGGATAGAACTGATGCCAGTGCCTTTACAGGACTTTGGAAAACATTATTCCTTCTGCCCCAGAGCATTTGGAACCTATATGTGATGTAGTGCAAATAAAGATCATGCTAAATCATTGTTTGGAATGATTAAACAGAGAGGGGGATGTTTTTGCCTGAAAGGTCTCTGTGTATGTAGCCACAGTGGGGCAAGGACCAATTGTGAGGTAGGTTACACGGCATCTTGCATTTAGGCCCAGAGCTGGAGAAGGGCATCCCTGTAATGTGTAGGTTTATTTTGAGAAGAAAGTGCCAACATTTCATCTTATCTATGCACAAGTACCTAATAACGCCTGCAGAGGAACCTGAGAGCTCTAACACATTTATCAGATAAAAATAATTAAAAATAATTATTTTTGTTTGGTGGTTTTTTTCCTTAACATTTTCATGCTTTTTCACAATTCAGTGTGTTCCTTTCCAGATGACACCCTTGATAAACAAGATTTGTGACACTCTGCTGTGTAATTTGAAAGTCTACGCAGATTCTGGCAAAGCTTTTGATATCCAGAGGTATGTTCAACATGCCAAAAATTAGTAGCAGATTATTAAAAAGAGGGAAAAAATCAATAGCAGCAGTTGTTCTGAATTCACACTTACTGTAGAAAAGATTTCTTTTTTCCTCCCTCACTTTAAAAAATAGAGATCATAGTTTAACGGAGGGTGTGTCTGATAAAAGCCTGTTCTTCCTGGGACAGTCATTGTATACTTGAAAAGTAATTTTGGTAAAGCATCTAATGTATTTCTGGCAGTTATTTAATGAAGTTTTAACAGCTGGAACAACAAAGGAAGGCTGCATCAATCCCTGTCCAGTCTGTTCTCTGCAGGCTGCCAATAATGTACAAACATAAGAATTGGTCTAGTATCAAATATATCTAGTCCATCACTCTTTTTTCCTTTTTTTTTTTTAATATGAGGTTTTTTTGAGCACTTAATAATTCTTACCACATTCTTACCACATTCTTCATAACCCCCTCTAAATGGCATGCTAGCTTTTGGGGAAGCAACAGGATCAGTAATCCAGATGAAAATGCACCACTGATTTATCAAATGACGTTTTAATATTTTCCATATTGTATTTTCTCTCATTTGTTATGCATTTAATATCCTATTATCTTTTCTGCTGCTCTTTCATCAGAGGTCTTCACTGAGCTGTTCACAACACTATCTAGCCCCCTCTCTGAGTAGATGCATTTTCTCTAAGATCCTGGGTAGTAATGCAAATGCATTCTTTCTAACAGGCACTATTTTTGCTTCATTTTGCTTGCATTTCATTTGCTGAGTTGGTCAATGCCCTCTGAAGTTCTTCATGATTTTCCCAAACTGAAGCAGCACAAATAATTTTGTTTCATCAGAAGAAATGGATATTTAGCCACAATGTATTAATCTTTTTTCAAGTATATGTGCACATGCAAATGTGTGTGTGTGTATGCACAGAGATCTCTCTAATAAACAGCTGAAAAATGCTATGAAACCTCAAGATACATTACACTAGCCTAGTGCTGTGATGAAAATTGACCTTTTCAGTCCTTCCAGTCTTTTCCATTTTTCCATTTGTCCTTTGTCTTTGAGTGGTCTTTTAGCTATTGATCCATTATAGGGTTTCATCTCTCAAGAGACACTTTGGTAAAGACCCTTTGAAAGTCTAAATGAATGATGTTGACCGTCTCGCAACATGATATTTCCAGTTGTTTTACCATACTACCATTTTAGCAGGTTTGACATACTTATAAATGTGATTCTCATTCCCCTGCAGTTTTACAGAATTGCCTTGGGAGCTGGTTTTTTTTAGATGAAAAGACCTATCTGTAACCCCCTATGACCTTAGTTGTCTTTAGCTGTTTTGTGTTTTGCCAACAACTCAAAATTTAGTTTTTAATGTTGTTTTATTTTTCAGTACCTTGGAGAGGTAGATGATTGAGTCCTTCTGAAATTATTGTTTATAGCAATGCCCCCCCTTTTAATATTTTAACTTGTAATGATGTTTTTTATGTGTGTGTGTCTGTGTGAAAGAGTTGAAGAACAAAAGAAGTGAGTTTTGCATTATTCTTGTTATCTTTTAAATCTTCTCTGGTGTGATCAGAATGACAAGTCACAAAGATTTTTGTTTAGAAATACTGATTTACACAATTACTGAGTCACATAATTCATAGAATTACTGATTCACATATGTAGGATGTAATGGGCCTGGCTCCTGTTCTTCCCTTCATACATACTCAGATTAAAACATCAGAGAGTGATATTAGCCTTTCCTAAGGATCATGGAGGTACAGACATTGCTTACTTCACCACAGATCAGAAGAATCAAATTCCAAGGATATTTCACATTCTCAGTCCACCCATCTCAAAACTTAATAGAGCTGCTAAAGCCTACTAGGAAAATAAAGATGGTAAAACAACTGGATTGAGGGTGAGATATGCAGAGAGCCATTTAGTAAATTCTGATGTTTCTAGATCATGGTCCACAGATCATTTGGAGTTCTCAAAGCACTGGCGGCTCCTCTGCAGAGATACAGATTTCACATGGTGTCAGTTTCTCTTGGTTTTGTTCCCAGAGTTACATTACAAGGGAGGTATGAAGAAGAAGAAGGAAATCCTTAAGGACCTTAATTTTACCTAAGAACCCATTGTCTCTGAGAGTTTAGACTGGATTGGAAATAGGTGTGCAGTTAAAAATGAGAAAGGAATTATCTCATTTATTAGGATGCATATAAAGAAAATGCTTATGCATCTCTGATGTGTTACATTTGACTTCTAGGTCATAACAAATTAAATTGTTTTCAATAAAATTTTACTGGAATTACTGAGCTGTATGAAAATATGTTCACTTTGTAGGTTTGGAAAAACGGGTCATTATCAAGCAGCACCATTTGTCAAAATGATGGAAACATCTCTTGTTGGCAAAACTTAAATCTAGAAGCAAAAAGAAACTCAGTGGCAAAAATTAATGCTGTGTGATGTTTGTAGAAGCAAGATATTAATGGATATGTGATTTGTAGATAGTAATTTATCATTCTTCAATTAAATGCAGGTGTTACAACTGCTTTACCTTGGATGTCGTTGGTAGCGTAGCTTTTGGTACTGAAGTGGACTCTCAGAAGAATCCTGATGACCCCTTTGTTAAGAATTCCAGAACATTCTTTGAAATGTCTTTGTTTAAGCCTCTTCTCATTCTAATCCGTGAGTATAATCTACATTAGTCTACTTTCTTGTGGTAATTTCATAAAAGTCACTCTCAAATTGCAAAATTGCTTCATGCTGAAGCCAGAGTAGGAAGCATTATAGCTGACATTATTTCAGAGGGATTCAGAGTGCAATCCACAGGCCACTTCTACCCTTGAGATTTCCACCATATGCTCTGCAGGTCTTGTCACCATTAATGAAACTCCAGGAACACAATGCTCCTGGTTCATCTGACAGGAAAGTTTCTGGGTCCTGCAGTTTCTACAGTACTTGTTTTAATACACTTCTCACTAAAATAGTAATTGCTCTTTGGGACCTAAGTGCAAAGTTTTTGTGCACTTGATTTGCTTAGTAGAGGTTGAAATCCCACCCATTATGAATCCACTGAAGAAAAGAGGTGTAAGTGTATAAACAGATTGTGTAAGTACTTCCAGTTCTTTTTTGAACACTGTCCACAGCCTGGTAGATGGCTCTGAAGGATAAAGATCACAGGTGTCTTGAGAGAATGCATTTATTTTATATTAATAGATAAGCAGTGCAAGACTGGAGTATAAAACCATGTAGTTCTAGGGCATGAAAGCTTAGGCTTCATGGTGGTGATGATCCTGATAATTCAAGGGCAGTAAGAATCACAGCTGAGGAAGCCACAGCATAATCAAGGCTTGTGAGGTTTTATCATCTCGTTATCTGCACACAGTAGTATCAGGTGGCACAGTGGCAAAGTTTCCTGTGCCCATCTGATCCTGCTGGCATTACAGATTGCACCTGTACTCACAGCACATCAACTGTTTCCTTCTGGAGCTGTGTATCCAAATTGCCCTGGGGTTAGCATTTAACCTGATTGCAAAATGTGATTTGTAACCAATTTCTTAAGGGACAGAAATGTGCCCCTATACATCTAAGAGCAGTGTGTCTTTCATTAAAGAAAAGTTTCTGTAATGTTTGGAGTTGGATTCCTTGATTCTTCTCTTTCTGCTCGTTCATTAATGTGAGAATTTCCACAATGTAGTTGCCCTGTTGGCAGGACAGGGTTTTTTCAGTGATTGATCTGTTAGCCTTAAATTGTTCATAAGTTAGTGAGGAGTTTATTAGAATATAAGACTTCACTCAGGTTTCTAGGTTGTGACTATAAAAGTATGGAGTGGAGACCATCCTTTTGATAATATCCCACTTCCTGAGTCTGTGGCCTGTTTAGAGAAGCAAAATAAATAGAATCACACAATAGTGTTGGAAGAGACCTTAAAAAGTCATCTAGTCCAATCCACTGCAATAAGCAGGGATGTCTTCAACCTGGTCAGTTTGCTGAGAACCCCATCCCTCCTGACCTTGAATGTTCCCAGGGATGAGGCATCCACCACCTCCCTGGGCAAACTGTGCCCCTGTTTTACAAGCTTCATTGTAAAGAACTTCTTCCTTATATCTAATCTGAATTGGCTCTCTTTTAGTTTAAACCCCATAGTCTTTGTCCTGTTGTGAGAGGCCCTAAAGAGCCCCATCCTTCATATAGGTCCCTAATGCTGCAGAGCTGTAATCAGGAATGAAAACTACCTAACTCCACATGTTGGTGCCATAAGCTGCTGGGCCAGTTCAAGATCCCCCAATTTCCCTATGTAATTGTCCGGGCAGGTAGGGGAATAATGCTTCCCTTTGTTATAGTGGCTTTGTGACACCAAAAATCTGAACCAAAATCCTGAGGCATCATGGAAACAAGCTTGGACAGCATCTGTCTGGAAAGGGAGTCTTGGCCAGCAGGACATCTCCAAAAGGGAATCCTCTTTTTCTTCCACCCTCACAGGTTACTAAAGGGAGAGGAAGAGAGGAAAAATCAGTTTTTAATAAAAGGAACACATCCTACTTGATAAGTTTTATAATATTAAGGAAGAGAAAGGGTGACTATTATATGCCCTCACAGTCTGATTCAATGTTTTCTTCTTTGCAATCTCTTACAGTTTCTTTCCCTTTCGTAATGATCCCATTGCTACGCATTTTTCCCAACAAGAAACAAAATGAACTTAATGAATTTTTTATCCAAACCATAAAAAATGCAATTGTCCACAGACACCAGCAAGATGCAGCTCAGGTAAGACTATTTCTGTGATAAATATATGGATATGCAAATGTTTTCAGGAAAAACTGGAAGTGGCATAAGCCTCTGTTTGAAAAACAAACTCAATCTCTCTGAACATTCAAAGTGTTTTAGTGAAGATTTGATTAATTTTTAGCTTTGTGTACCATCAGGCAGAATTGTTAACACATTCCAATATTGCTGCTCTTAGTATTTCTTTTCAAGTAAGGATGCAGAAAAGTTGCATCTGGGATGCCTTCTCAGCCCAGTTTCTAGACCCAGAAGGAAGGGTTCAGCCTATGGAGTATTTTTTCTGTCCTAAAGTCATGTGTCATGTCTACACTACTTTTCCTCAAGGACTAGAGGGGGAAAAAAATGCACTGAGTGTTTCAACCCAGTTTCTCCCTAAGACCTGAAGCAGGTTTGACAGAGCCCTGTGCCAGTTCCTGCTGCTTTGGAACTTGGGAACAATCTGAGTGTCTGGTTGGAACAGCCACTGGAGCTGAGATGGCTAAAAAGAAAGGTAGTAAATAGCACCTGAAATGTGCAAACAAGTGGCTGCCATTGTTAGCAAATCATTTGTTACCTCTTTTTTTGGACATAAGGCACTCTGAGGAGGTTTTTTGTGCTTGTTTTTGTCAGTCTTGTTTTATAAAGTATGTGAAGGCATATACACTTTTCATTAAAGTTTTTCTATTTTTGATATATGAAACATTTGGAACGTAGACCTCTGCTTTGGTTCTGTGATACAAAAGTTTGTTTTGGACAAAAGAAGAACAAGCATGAAAGGAAATTAAATTCCAAGATTTCTTTTAATTTAATTTAATTTTTCCTTTATTTTCCTCTTTTTCCATTAAGTTTCATCTCATTTCATTCCTTGACTTGTCATTTCATTCCTTTCATGAAATGAAATCCCAAGATTTCATTTAATTTAATTTTTTTGCATTTCAAATAATTTAATTTTTTAATTTTAGTTTTCTAAATTTAATTTAATTTCATTGCATTCTTTGATTTGGCGTGTCATTTCCTTTCACAAAATGAAAGCCATTTTGTGAAAGAAAGGGAAAAGAAATCTCAAGATTTCATCTAATTCTATTTTGGTATGTTTCCTTTAATTTCTTTAAATTTAACTTCATTTCATTTTAATTAGTTCCATTGAATTTATTTTCATTTCATTCCTTGACTTTTCATGTTCATTCATGACATGAAATCCCAAGATTTCATTTAATTCCTTTGTTTTATTTAATTTATTTTCATTTTTTAGTCTGTTTTTTTATAAAAATTTCATTTCCCTTTATCCCATGATGTTTCATTTAATCTAATTTTATTATTTGGTTTTTCATTTTATTTCATGAAATGAATTTTCATTTGATGAAAGGATATGAAATCTCAAGATTTCATTTCTTTAGGTTTCCTTTCATTTCTTTTCATATTTTTTCATTTAATTTTTTTTGCATTCCACTTCATTTCCTTTTATTGCATGAAGTTTCATTTCATTTCTTTTCATGGAGGAATATGGATGTGTAGTGAGAAACTACAAAAAGAATATCAGTGAGAATTCCAATTTTGAGGTGACTGAAACAAATTTTTGCGTAACAATTGGCACAAAACACACAACATCCACATGAAGGATGTTAATATTGAGGTGTAGGAGATGCTTCTTGCCTCTCTGAGATGAAGAGTAATGCTGATGGAGTAACAGCACAGGAGAGACTGGATCCTCCCAACTTATTCTCACAGCTTCACCCCACAGCTGCCTCTTTTCAGGATAAAATGGATTTTGGTTTACCCTACTTCCAGGACACATTTAAAAAATTAAATTTATATTCAAACATATTGCTGCTCTTTGACTTTTTCTGCCGTGATGTCTCACTTCCACATTTGTTGCAGTTTATCACTACATGCTGCTTGCTGTTCCTTCAGCCCACCTTTGTTAGTTTTGTTTTTCTTCTCATCTGAGGGATGGTAAGCACCACTGACTGACCACAAACAATTGGTGATTCATAAACAGGGTTCCTGGCCCAGGCTGAGTGCTGCAGGAATATCTTCTGGCACTGATGATGTGTATAAACTGCTTGCAGGCACCTCTTTTCTACTGCATGGGTCCAGTGTGAACTCTTAATGGCTGCAGATGTGGCTGTAGGTATGGACAGCTTTAAATCAAAGATTCGTGCCAATGGGGTCTGCATGGAAAGTCTGTTCTGTATATGAATTGTGAAAGGATAAAAGGAACAATGAAACAACCTAATGTGGAGTAAAAGTGGTTGCTGTGTAAGCTGTTATTAATGAAGTGCAGAGTGTTTCTGTGGCTGTAGCACTGAGGGGGTCCATCATGGCCTAAAGCCTTCACTGTGCTGGTCACTCCCTTAAACAAGGGACAGCACAGAAAAAAGCAAGATTGTAGTGACAAGATCAAAAGGCAGAAATCTGCATAATGCAGCCTGTTTGCAGGCTACAGAGGGTGATGGGCCAGAGGTTTAAGGATCTATTGGGAGGGATATTGGGAGGTGCTGTGAGAGATAACACATGGCAGTAGCTGCCCAACATCAGGACAATGTGGGGGAAAGTGCAAGGTCTGTGTTTGCCTTAGCAGTGTGTGCACAACTCCACGGCTGCCTGCAGACCTGTCTGCTTCTGGGCTTCTGCTTAGTTGGCAAAATTGGCATATGGGAGCTATTTCAAGTGCTAGGAGTTAGCCCATTAGGGACAGATTTCTTAATGCAAATTAAGTCTCCTTTGCAGTTCAGGATCATTATTGTTCAAAAGTGACTGAAAAGTTTGGAGCTTTCTTTTTTTTTCCTTTTTCACTGCCTATATTCTCTACCTGCTTATAGAATTTTGAATGTTTTAGGTTGGTGGCACATAAGTCTTGTTACAAATATAGGCAACTAATATTTGCCAGAGACATAAAAATGGCATGTAAAACAGAACAAAATGCAGCTTTTATTCAATTTCATGCAGAAATTAAATCTGTAGAGATGAGGTGTCCCAGATAGCCCTGCATGTGAATGGGAATTATGTCCTCTGTCCTAGGTCTCAAATGATGAAATGTACCCACTGAAACCAGTTGGAGTTTTGGCACTGAATTTTAATAAGGCCAAGATATAACTAGAAGCCAGTGGTTCTTTGTGCTAATAATGAGAGCTATAAGCAAAGTCTTATGGTCTCCCTGAGGTGCATTAGGCCAATGGGTATTCCTTAGTTTGCTACACTCCTAGATGTTACATTGTGTGCATCTTTTACTCCCCATTGATTTTATCACCATTAAAAATGCTTTGGGGTTCTTTTCTTAGGGGAGGGGGGAGGGAGGATAAAAAAAGCCTTTGGAACAAACTGTAAAACAATGAAAAGCTCCAGACAGTGATTTAGCTGAAACTTGTCTTCCTCTCATCTACAGCTAATGTGAACAAAGAATAAAGAAAGGCCAAAAAACAATGTGACAAGCAAAGTCAGCCTGTTATCATCCCTGTTCTATCAGTAAATGAAACAATGCTTCTGAATGCCTAAAGATAATCCCTTGGGTAGATAGTAATTTTACAGCCCGGTTTAGATCTAATAATACGCTTGCAGCTTATATGAGATCTGTGATGTCACTTTCTCTCATCCCCTCGGTTAGTGGTGCAGATGTCATTTTAATTATATATTATCTTTCTGTGGTCACTTAAATAATTCTAGTCCTGGATATTCCACTCATTTGGCTTATGTACAAAAACATTTAATGCCTGTACTTTAGAAATTTTAATACATTACATTTATTCATGGATTCAAATTATTGTAAAAGGCTTTTCCCACTATTTACAGAAGAGCAAATTTACCCAGCTCAGAAGAAACAGCACAAATTTAATGCACCACTTAACACCTACTTTAAAGGATCCAGCAAGATTTAAATGTTCAAATACCTTACCCTGATTATCTGTGCAGGTTTAAATTTTTCCCTGAGGCAAAATATTTCCAAAGACAGGGCAGATAGACTATTTGTTTACTTCAATAAATGATACTTTGATAGATTTTCATTTAACAATCTGATATGCAAGTTGTTTTTGTGTTAGAGCTATTTTGATATCCTGTTACACCTTCTTAACCTACTGGTTTCTTTTAAATTATGATGTCTAGATGAAGGAGTCTTTCATAGTGCTCAAAACTGAGACTCCTTCAGCAACTGTGGGTTGAAACCAAGCCCCCTGTCAGCAGATAAAAGTCCAGAGTTTCATTTGTAATCCATAGTAATAACAACAAATGTACTGTAACAATTTAAGGCTATTGATTATTTTTGAAAAATCACAACAGACCTGTGGATAAATCCACTATTGAAAATACACATCCTTTAGCAAGGAGAATTGGAGAATTCATAGACACTTCAACACATATTTCCTCTGATATTTCCTGATTTTTCCAATCATACTGTCTGCTGTGAAAGCATAATTCAAGGTCACATAACCCTAATGCCAGGCCAGTAGAGATCTGATGATGTTTCTCATGGCCATCAGCAGCTTCTTGGTGTTCTCAAGACAATTTGGAATGAGAGGGTGACAAAGCACAGGGAAAGTATCACCAGAACTATTCACTGGCATCTCAATTTGCTGTTCAGTCAGTCTGGCTGGAGACTTATGGACTACTTGAGTGCTTTTAATGCAAAGGCAGAGCAGACAGAAGGAACAACATGAGAAGAGTGTGAAGGCTGTGCTGCTGGGAGCCATGCTTCCCTTTGAGCCCTGAGCCACTCAGAAACTGGACAGTGGTGTCAGTCCTGGTGATGATTTGGCCTCCTTTTAATTGGTGTGGCTCTAGAATGTTCTGTAGTCTGCTGTGCCAGGTATAGATCAAAAGAGGTTGTCCTCTGGTCAACAATTGCAACCTCCTCCAGTTTTCCCTGCTTTCCATCCTCATTCCTGGCCAGTCTTTTCCCTGATCACTGGTAGCTCCAGTCAGTGGCTCTGCTTTTCCCAGGCTGCCCATACAACTGGGCAGGCATGAGGGATTCCTAGTGAGTGGAAGTCCTTTGGCTTTTCAGCATC